TTATTATATTATATTATAATATTATTATATTATTCAACAGGCACTCAAACCTTCCTTGAAAGAATATGAGAATATATTTTAGGTACCAAGAAAGAAATGACAGATTAGAACACTCTGGGGGTGAAACACTTGCCTGCCCACCCACCAGAAACAATTTTTTAAAAAATGTTCCATTGATGGGCTGTTTTAAGCAATTGCTTGCAAGGCAGCCATCATGCTAAGTTGCATTTTACTTTAAAGCTGCTGTGGGGAACTAGTCCTTCCTTGTTTGTAATACCTTCCAACAGCTGTCACAATAGCTAGTATCCAACAACTCCTGAATAAGGACCGAACTTTTATCTAAAGCAGTGTTTCCCAAACTTGACAATTTTAAGGCATGTGGACTTCAACTCCCAGAATTCCACAGCCAGCAATGCTGGCTGTGGAATTCTGGGAGTTGAAGTCCACATGCCTTAAAATCTAAAGGAAGATACTTATGCCTCAATTCTTTGGAAAGGTTGATGTTTATTTCTGTGAGTTAAAAGAGCGATTTCAAAGCTGTGAAAGCCACAGAGGGACCATCCATTGTTAACTGCTACTATAAAGGAGAGAACATTGTATGAAATAAAAAAGAGCAAAGTAACAACACAGAACTATGTCACACTTTTTCATACCAGGTCCATTTTGTGTTTTTTTTTTTCCTCCTTTCTTCTATTAGAAAGCAGACTGTTTCATTAATGTACGGTACTCTTTGCATTTTTTTTAAACAATAGCTTTGAAAACACAGTAAGAATGTTATTGTAAGATGAGTTTTCTATGCAGATAGATTAGATAGCCAGATAGGCAGATAAATAGATATTAAAAGTTTAAAGGGGAAAAGAAAACGAACAGAAAATAATACAAAATAAATAGAACATTAAAAATTAAATTAAATTAAAAAATACCACTTTGTTTGATGCCCACAGAAGTTAACCTCAACCAAACCTACAATCTTATGTCCTGATTAGTCTATTTTTTGCAGTGTTTGGGAAATCATTTTATTTTATTTAAAAAAATATATTTCATTAATTCATGAGAGAAACAGCAATCTTTGTTACAGCAATTAAATATACATAGAGTATTTACTTAAAGATCCATGGTGGTTAATGGGTGACATCCTCAAGACCAGGAAGGTACGTTTGACTTTACTAGTTATTTTAAAAGGCCTAGTAAAAGAAACCACTTCAATCAGACGTTAACCTCAACAAAGCCCATTGCTAAACGTTTAGGAAATAATTTAAGCAAAATGGATATAGAACCAAAATGAGATGCAATAATGTATTTTGTGAAGATTAGGCACCCCCAAAGCCTTGCCCTGCTTGATTTATGGCTCAAGAAATAAAAGAACTAAGATTTCAAATGTCAGCCTGACCTCTTTTTTGCCCTGAATGGCAAGACTAATATCAAACGTTCACCTTATAGTTTTCCCCAGTCATAAACACATCACTGTTATGTTACTCCTGGAAGATTTGCTACTGAACTATTTTGCCATGTCTTGTCTGTAGACAGATATTTTATGATGTAAAATGTTAGCAATGTATAGTTACAGTCTTCAGTCATCTACTAGCTGTTCTATCGAAGTCAACTTTCATTTTCTGCAATATCAGAGAGTTGAAACATATTTCCTGAACCTGCCACCAGCCCAGCACACAAATCGTTCATCAGCAAGGGATAAATATTAGTTACAGAGATGTCCTCCAGAAACTTCTGGAAGGTCTGGCTGAGCAAGTCTGGGAGTTGAAGTCCACAAGTCTTAAAGTTGCCAAGTCTGAAGACCCCTGCTGTAATCCCTTGCTTGGGATGGGATGTGGGCGACTGAGTGGAGCTGAGCATTTGCTGTCTGGATGCCCTTCCTGACGCCTATGCAGAGTTTGCAGCAGACATTTCCCCTTTGCACCCTGATAGACAAACATCTGTTGTGGCTTGGTATTGAACTCTCAATCTTCCGAGTCATACAGAGGTCTAAAAAAACAAAGTCAGGCTGCTTTAATGAAAAGCAGAGAGGGCAGGGCTCAACGCTATATGAGACCCCAAGCCGTAAAGACGGTGTCTTGCAGAGAGAATAGCTGGGTGAGGACAGATAGAGGGATAGAGGGATAAGCAATTCTCCTCAGTCTACCTTGCCTTTTCTTGGGTGGGGAAGGGGCTGCAGAGAGGACGTTCCTTTTTCCATTGAAGCTTTTACATAAAAAGAAAATATACTGTCTATCCCCCAGGGCATCCTGTTTGGAAACTAGCTGCTAATGTGTGAACTTTAAATGGTGTGTTCTCAGCAGATGGGTCAGTCATTCTTGGTGATTTTGAAATACTGACTGTTTCACAGGAGGCAGAGGGACTCCAAAAAAAAAAAAAACAAAAACAAGGGCAGTTTGTTTTGCCTGGTATTCTTCTCTAGACATGATTTAGGCAGCAGCAGCTGTAATTCTAGCAAGGGTACGTAAGGAAGCAGGATTTACGGTTGAAAGTCTGCTGGCTTTTTTTGTGTGGAATAAATAAATAAATAGAAACAGTGAGCAAAGCACACGGAGGGCACAGAAGATGAGAAAAATAAGGCAGGATTGTCTCCCACAGCTTCATATTCCTGCCCACTACTCTATTTACTACGGTGGGGAGGATGATAACATCCAAGACATATTTGGAAGTCGCAAAGGTGGAGGAGTCTAGTGTGTTGACAAATAAATCTTACATAGCGTGACTCTTTTTCTTCACCCAAGAATATGGCGGCCATATTTTCTGGGGAAAAATTAAAGGACAAGCCTGAAAAAGGTGCAGATCGGAAGAGGTTCATAAGGATAAAGAAAAGTTATAGCTTATATTTATTGCTTTTCTTCACTCCAGATCTCAAAACACATATTCTAATAAATATATCTAAAATCAAACCATAAATTTGTTTTAACAAGACCCCTCCAGGCCTGCGAAAGACTATAAATTAAGTGGTACTATTTGTACGATAAAGGGGAAAATGACCAAAATAAAGGACAAATGTGGGCTTTGGAAAATTAAATAAATCTGAAGGACAACTTTCTATTCAATAAGAAGTGAAATCGGAGATATTTTTGTCTGCTTTCTACCCTGTCCTTTTCTTGCCTCATTTATTATACAAGAACAGAACATCTGCTCCGTACATTATCTTTTCCAACCAATATAGGGTGCAGAAGAAGGTGGGGTAATGAAATCCTGAAGCATTTCAGAAACACACATTTTCCAAAGATGCTTTCTAAAGTTGCTTGAGATCTTGACTGAACTGAGCTGAACCTCAGCTTCTCCTGGAGGAATCTTCTCAGATAAAATATTGATTATACGGGAAGGTATGTTTGACTAAACCTTCCCTTGGAGACTTTTCTGGAGGCTAGCTTTGTTTTTTTTAATCAAAATTCTGGTTCCGAAAACAGCCTTTGAAGATCAGATCTAGGGTGAGTCTATCAAAGAATGGTCAGTTCTATTTTAGGGCACACCTGAAAAGCCACTGAGATACATCTAGGACAGGGGTAGGCAACCTTGGCTCTTTTATGACTCGTGGACTTCAACTCCCAGAATTCCTGAGCCAGCATGGCCCAGCTTGGAAACCTCTCCCTTTTTCCTCAGCATGGCTGGTTCAGGAATTCTGGGAGTTGAAGTCCACCAGTCACAAAAGAGCCAAGGTTGCCTACCCCTGATCTAGGAGGTACAAGGTCACAATATCCAATCGCTGATATAAATAGTCGATTATCTTAGTAAAATTGAGAGCCGCCCATAGCACCTTAAAATATATATAATATATATTTTTGTAGATTTCAAAGGGTGTCTGCAGTGTTTGGTTAAAAAAAAAATCCTCAAGATTTGACTCTTTGGGCTGCCATCTTGACTTTTCCCTCACATTTTGTGGACACTCCAGACCTGAACAGTGAAAAACAAATCAAACTTAGCTTTCTCTCTTTTCATCATCTGCATGCTGCAGGTGACAAGAAACTGTAGCTGTAGCAAGGAATGATAAAACACGGAACCCGTGATAACTATGTTTGTTGCATTAGTTCTCTAGAAATCCTGGGCAAATTTTAACACGCAAAGTTTCGTCTGAATTCCCACCAGTCCATCAGATTAATATCCTTTCCCACCTTGTTTGCATTCAGTTACTTTCATTTGAGTTTTCTAATGCGCAAAGAAGCAACATGAAGGCTTAATGCGGTTTGCTGAGGGAGGGGGAAAAAACGACACACATAAGTCTCATAAATTAAGAATTTCCCCCCAAAACAGCAGGGAATTGCTGCATCACAAGGAAAACAGCAAAGCAAAACAGTACCAGCCAGTTACGATGGTTTCTGAATAAATAAAATGCATGTTGTTTGATGCTGTTCTCTGGGGGGGGGGGAGATGAATTTCTGTTCCCGCAGGCAGTTCTTGACTTATGACTGCAAAGTTTCTGTTGTTAAACAACAGAATTAAACTGCATCCACTTTTACCTTTCTTTTCTGCCGTGGTGGTTAAGAGAAACACGGCAGTTCTTAAGTAAATCATGTGGTCATTAAGCGAATATGACTTCCCCCGTTGACTTAGCTCGCTGGGAAAGTTACAAATGACGACCCATGACCCCAGCACAATGCAACCGTCGTAAGTGCATGCCAGTTGCCAAGTGCCCGAATTTTGATCACGTGACCAAAAGGGTCGCAAGTGTGAAAATTGGTCCTAAGTCACTTTTTTTAGTGCCGTTGTAACTTCAGTCACTAAGCAAATGGTTATAAGTCGAGGACTATCTGTACTTAATGCCTGGGCCAGTGACTTCTTGGTCACCTACCATTTATCCCATTTCTAAAGATTAATTGTGTTGTCACTTCCGTTGTGTCTGGAAAGCAAGGGACTTCGGCCCTTTCATTATTTCTTACTTAGCTGGAAATGTTTTTCCTGCTTGCAACGTGGGCTCCCTACTTCCAGGTACAAATATCTACTGTCCAACCTGCCAATGTGTTCTTCTAATGTAAACCTGGCCTTGATCATGTATCTTCTAGGTTTCCTCTACAGCCCGAGCAGCTCGAAACACAGCATTAAAGAGCGGCTTATGAAGCTCTTGCGCTGCTCGTCCTCCAAATCGACCTCTCCTGCTACCCAAAGCAAGTTGCTATTTTTTTTTCTTCTCTTCCTTTTCCCATTGAAAAGCTTTTTGGTGTTGAATTGCATGTTTCGTGGGATCTATGTACCTGTCTGTTCTGCCTGGTTCGGCTTGGCGCCTCGCAGGCATCCCGCCATCGAAGGCGAGGAGTGGGAGGGGAGGATAGACGAGCAATAAAGGTGTGTGTGTGCATGATGGGAAATAGGGAGGGGGAATGACCGGTGATAAAGAGCACAGAAGCTCGGGACCAGTTTGTACCAGCATATCCTGAGAAAGAGGGTGGATTACCGCAAAACATCTCAGCATACTCAAAACTCTTCGGCAAATTCCAATTGGCTGAAGATGGGCTGGTCACGGAGGGGGGGAGGCTGGGATGAGGGGAAACCTTTCTGTTATCTTTGGCACGAGGGAAACCCAGAGCTAGCCTGATTTTACTGCAACCAACATCCTTTTGGCAAAAGAGCCTTTCTCTTCAAGTAGATGGAGTCGAGGGTGTTTCTTTCCTAAGGGATCAGATTGGGGCAGGTCTGACAGTACTGTATTGGAAAATAATCCCTTGGGGCAGGGGTAGGCCACCTTGGCTCTTTTATGACTCGTGGACTTCAATTCCCAGAATTCCTGAGCCAGCCATGCTGAGGGGAAAGGGAGAGGTTTCTAAGCTGAGCCAGGCTGGCTCAGGAATTCTGGAAGTTGAAGTCCATGAGTCATAAAAGAGTCAAGGTTGCCTACCCCTGCCATAGATAGATAGATAGATAGATAGATAGATAGATAGATAGATGGATGGATGGATGGATGGATGGATGGATGGATGGATGGATGGATAAGTAGGTAGGTAGGTAGGGAGAGAGACAGACAGACAAACAGACAGACAGATCTAGATCAGGGGTAGGCAACCTTGGCTCTTTTATGACTCGTGGACTTCAACTCCCAGAATTCCTGAGCCAACCATGCTGAGGGGAAAGGGAGAGGTTTCTAAGCTGAGCTGTGCTGGCTCAGGAATTCTGGGAGTTGAAGTCCTCGAGTCATAAAAGAGCCAAGGTTGCCTACCCCTGGCCTGGGGGAATTGCATATTGGATAACCATGTATAGCATCCAGGGGAGAGTTGAAAAATGGAGATATCCACTCGTGTGGTCAATGCTTGGTACATTCTTAGCCACTGGGGTTGACTTCTTCCCTATTTTTGAACATAATTCTACAGCCGTTCAGTAGAACAACAGGGCTGGCTGTTAAGAACTGAAGCACACAACAAAAGAGAAAACCAGCTTTCCCTTGTGCCGGGAATGGAGCCCCACAATCAATAACTGTAGAACATATAATTTTTGAAATATGCTTGGGGTTTTATTCATGGGAGTCTTCTATCTTAGCAACAGGCTAGTTGTTCAAGACAGAAGACTCCCGTGATTGTGGGGCTCCATTCCCGGCACAAGGGAAAGCTGATTTTGAAAACTGCCCCCCGCTTGGGTGTTTTCTGTGGGTCCCCTTTTTCTTGTCCCTTCTGTGGGCCCGTCGCCAAGTCTTCTAACAAACTGCAGCATCCCTCTCCCAACTCTTTCATCCTAACTTTTAAATTCTTACATTCTTGACAAGATAATATCACACTCTCAGCTGAAATCAGTATAATACGCTGGATGTAAATTAGTATAATTTTTCTAATGTGTACAAGTATGCTATGGTGGAGTGTAGATTTTTTTTTTTTTTTTTGGTTAAAAATATTGAAGATTCCGATTCAGAAAGTTAAAAGGGGAGTTTGTGGGTGGGTTTCGGTTATGTGTGCTCTTCCCAAAATGCAAAGCTCTCTTAGCTAGTCCTGAAAAAAAGTAATTGCTTTCTTTATTCTTTCTGAAGGGCTGGTTTTTCTTCCTTCCTCCCTTCCCCCAGGTATAAATATCCTGCTTCACAAGAACAAGCACAAAAAAGGCTAAGCTTCTCTGTTACTTGAAATGTTGGGGGGGGGGGTCCATGTAAGCACCGACAAGCACACCTGAAGGCAGGACAAGAAGCAACGGGTGGAAACTAATCAAGGAGAGAAGCAACCTAGAACTAAGGAGAAGCTTCCTGACAGTGAGAACAATTAATCAGTGGAACAACCTGCCTCCAGAAGCTGTGAATGCTCCAACACTGGGAGTTTTTAAGAAGAGACTGGACAGCCATTTGTCCAAAATGGTGTAGGGTTTCCTGCCTGAGCAGGGGGTTGGACTAGATGACCTCCAAGAGGAGAAAAAAACTTAGTTTAAAGTACAGGAAGTTCTCAACTTACAAGAGTTGGTTTAGTGACTGTTCAGAGTTATAACAGCGCTGAAAAAAGGGACTTACGGCCGTTTTTCACAGTTGTGACTGTTGCGGCCTCCCCATGGTCATGATTTACACTCAGATACTTGGCAACTGACTCAGGTTTATGACAGTGTCCCGGGGTCATGTGATCCCCTTTTGTGACTTTCTGACTTTCTCACTTATCACCTGTAGTGAGTGACTCACTTAACAGATGTGCTGAGAAAAGTCGTAAAAACTCACTTCACCAATTTCTCACTTAGCAACAATAAATTTGGGGCTGTGTTGATCGTAAGTTGAGGACTTCCTGAAAAAAATAGGCTGACCCCTTCATCTTTGTGGTAGCCCCTCAAATATTGGAAGACTGCTATCATATTCCCTCCCCAGTCCTTCTCTTCACTAGAGGAGACATAGCAGATTCCAGCAACCGTTCTTTGCATGTTTTAATCTCCAGGGCCCTGATCCTCTTGGTTGCTCTTCTCTGCACCCTTTCCAGAGTCTCAGCATCTTTTTTTATAATCTCTTTTCTACATAGGATAGACAATCCCGTTCAGTGAGAGCTGTTCTCCCTGTGATTATTTTGCGTCAATTCTTCTGCTGGCTTTTCTATGCCATTTTACCTGCCCAGGTATCTTTATCCCCTGTAACGAAATCTCAGTCCCTGCGTCCATTTCTTACTGACAGAGCAGAAGCCTAAGGCCACCAACAGAGTTGCATTGTTTTTATCTGCAACAAGTTCAATCAATCAATCAATCAATCAATCAATCAAAATAGCACTGGAAGGGGGCTTGGAGGTCTTCTAGTCCAACCCCCTGCTCAAGCAGGAGATCCTATACCATTTCAGACAAGTGGCTGTCCAGTCTCTTCTTAAAAACCTCCAGTGAGGGAGCACCCACAAATTCTGGTGGCAAGCTGTTCCACTGGTTAATTGTCCATGCAATCTTGGACTGAGGACATTCTGATGTCTTTCTTTTCTCTTTTATTTTGCCATGTTTCTATCTGACTTTATTTTATTTTATGTTTTGTTCTGTTCCATTGCATTTTATTTTCTTCTTCTCCGGTTTTAAAATTTTAATGTGAGGCTTTATACTGTTGGACTGTCTTTGTTGTGTTTGCTTTTTTTTTTTTACATTAATGGTCATTTGCTGCAATTAAATTGATTTCATTCGTTATGTTAAAAAAAAAGTAGGTGAATTAAATTACCCTGCTTTCTTTAATCTTGTAATACCGGGAAGCAAAGTTTTAAAAGCAACAACTAAGGTAGAGAGATTATGAAGATAATACTTTAATATGGCATGGGAATAATATATCTCACAGCCAGTTTTTCTTGCTTCACAGAAGAATAAAAAGTGCGCTGTATAGAATTAAATAAGGAACAGAATCCACAGTGATCAAATAATCTTTTAATGAAATGCAGTTGGAAGCCCTTTCATTTAAATTGTACTGTCAGGAACAAATTTTAAGCTATAAATTAGTGGAGCATAAGCTCTTCTCTCCCCCCCCCCCCAAATGCACTGCCTGGGATACAGTTTGCATGACAGGTTTTAGCAACTGCTCGCCGGCTGTTTATCATGACTTGAAAATTGGAGTCTGTTAAGTCTCTTGAATATTGAGCAGCCGCGCTTGCCTCTTCTTTTCTTTAAAAAAAGAAAAAGAAAAAAAATTAATTCTCAAATGCAAATTAGAGGTATTTAAATTGGGCAGATTCTAAAAAGGCTTGGTTTTGGAAAATTGGATTAGTTAGTATGCACTGCGCAATACGGAACGATTAATATTTAGGGACGCACTATTAGGGCTGTGTGAAGCGCACAAGAGGGCGGGCTTCAGGAAGTGGGCCGGTGGGAGCAAAGGGCCCCCACCTCATTTCATTTAGGCAGCCTGGTCCTCCAGAACCTGCAGTAGCTGTGAAGACTTCGCAAATTGTCTTTATATTCAGACATGCATGTACAGATGCTGGGCTTTGGCACCTCACCAAGTGACCGTGTGGTCTGTGCTTCCATAGTCATCTGAGGTCCACTTGGAAAGTCCACAAAGCAGTTGTGAGACTGTGCACTCAGCACCTCCTGTGTTTTGCAAAGGCAGGCAGATGTATTTATTCTGCTTACGATCAGTCAATCAACTCCCGTTTCCACCCCTTAGCTTTAATCTCGCTGGCTTCCATACAGAGCAGGACTTTGCAATTGCTTCTGTCCTGGGTTGTTAAAATCATTCTAACAGCATTGTTTAGCTTTCCTGTTTCAATAAACAATATATTCATTTTAAATATCCTGGGAGGAATCCCCAGAGGGAAAAAACAAACCAATTTATTTTTAATTTTCTTCCTGGTCTTCGCACGTACATTGTGAAACATCAGCAGGCAGTGTTCATTTATTTTCAACAAGATTCTTTGCAAACTTAAGAACTGGTAACTTTTATTTTAATAGCAACTGAGATTGTGACGGTGGTTTCTGCACTTTTTTTAAGCATTGGTATGTAATTGCAGCCTAGCAAATGTCAAGGGAGATCACACGGAATACACTACACGAAAACTGTGTAGGAATGAGTAACTTCAGATCTCTCTCTCTCTCTCTCTCTCTCTCTCTCTCTCTCTCATTAAAATGATAGATGTTATCTGAGACTTTGGACATGCACAGTATGACAATCAGAATAGAAAAACAGTATACCAGGCTTTGAGGATCTAGCACATTTATCTACTCAACTAAAGCCACTTAGTACTTAATAGGTTAGCCAAGCCATGTTTTGAAGAGCAGTTGCTGAATAGGCATTTGAGCTTCCAAGGAAGGATGGAAGGGAGGAGGGAGGGAGGGAGGGAGGGAGGGAGGGGAGGAAGGAAGGAAGGAAGGAAGGAAGGAAGGAAGGAAGGAAGGAAGGAAGGAAGGAAGGAAGGAAGGAAGGAAGGAAGGACAACCAATAGCAAGATGGATGGACTCAATTACAAAAGCAATGAATGCAGTATTGAGAATCCTTAAAAGTCCAATCCTATGATGACATTTTATAAGTTATTAATGTATGGTCAGTTACAGCAAAGAGCTGTAATTATTGTCAGGTGCTGCTTTTAGTTGATGAACTTGGTGTATCTAACCTACCAAAACTCCTGTCTTTTCCAGTTTAGGTGGTGGTCATGACTGGAGATCTATTTTTGCCATCACCCGATTCCTTCTTGACCATCTTTCCTTTTTCGTTTGGTTTCACAGACAGCATAGAAGATGAAATTGAAATGGCCACTGTACGGCATCGGCCGGAAGCCCTTGAACTGCTGGAAGCACAGAGCAAGTTCACCAAGAAGGAACTTCAGATTTTATATCGGGGATTCAAAAATGTAAGTGTCTCTTGTGGATTTTGCCCCAAAGTAGCTAATTCATAAGAATTGGGAAACTACTGAAAGTATTTGCATAATTATAAGGGGATGCCTACTTCTCATCAACAGTACAAAGCATTCAGGAACATGATGGTAATGATTCATTTCCTGGGAATAGTTGGTTAAGATGACCCAAAGTTGTGATCTTTATGGGGGACAAAGTGCTTCTTGGAATACTATAGCGGAAACTGCAAGAGTTTTGCAAAAAGTTTGTGGGAGGAAGGATAGAAGAAAAACACACCCATAGAAGAAGTGCACACCCACACCCAAGTGAATTAGACATGGGTTATAATGGAAGACATGATCTTCAGGAATGAGAAAGTTAGGATGAGGGATTTCAAAAAGATCAGGAAGACAGAAGGAAAGCTAGATGGGATGTCAGAGAGAAAGTCTATAGAAATGAAAAACTTTCAGATCTAGTCTTACTAACAATGGGAATTAATTGGCCAACACACCAGTGCAGACCGGTATTTTTTTCCCCCTGAAGCTTTATTTTCATGCAACAAAACACTAAGAACACACAAAATGCTTAGCTTTTAATTTTGGAACATCACTTTAAACACTTTATCACTGAAAATAAAAGGTTATCTTGGGCTCAGGAGAGCCATCTCAAATACTAAGGAAGCCACTCTTCTCAAATATCTTTTCTACTTCTTTGAATTTTTTTAAAGTTTGGATTATGACCGAGCTTCTAGGTCATTTAAGGTTTTGGAAGTCCTTTCTACTTAGGGTTCATGTCAGGATGATGAAACCTCTGCAGCGATGCTCACTGCTACATCATTTTACTTTGCAGCAATTTTCTTTATTGTATTGGTAGAAAAGTAGCATTTTCCCATGATTCTGACCCCTTTGAGAACAGTTTCAAGATGTTCAAAATCCAGTAAGGCTTGTCTCCCTGTTACCTGGAAGAAGAGAGGGTCAGGTGACTGGTTGTGATGTAAAGCAGAGGTGGCAGAGGCCAGATAAGAATTAGCCATGGAGAACACAATTGCTAGGCTTTGTTTTTTGACTCAAGCATAGATCAACAACTCTGTCTTCTCTGAATTGTCTTGCAAGTCCTCCTGCCCTCAGATCCTCCCTCCCTTTGACATCTCAGGTCTTCTGGCATGTAAGATTAGGTCTTTCACCCACTCTGCCGTAGCCCTTCTGCTACAGGAGGCTGAATGTGGCCATTCTGCAGTCTCCTAAATTGGGAATAGATGCTCCAGTAGACTGACTTTCGTTGCCCTGATCCTTATCTCCTATCTCCATCTGTCTTCACTTTTATCTTTCGATGTAGAGCAGAAGAAAGCTTTTGTTCCTCTCGCAAAACAGGGGGGCCAACAGCCAGCCATAAAGCTAATTGGAAGGAGATTGGGAACAGTCAAGACCTTTGGGTTTCATGATAGCATAACTTCAAATACTGTTTGGAGACGACCAGCCATGAAAGGGCCAAGCCTCTGCCAAGGCTCTGCCTAATGGTTGCAGACACCCCATAAACATCTATTTGGACCCTGTGAGAATATATCCCTTCTTTCAGTAGCTGGATTAGCTAATGGAAACGCTGAGCAGGGCTTCCCAAAGTTGACCCAAAGTACACAAAATTGTATTCCCCTCGCGTTGCAGATATAATGGAGATGCGGTAGAGGTAGTCCTTGGTAAATGGTTGGTTGTTCAGTTCAAAGTTACAATGGTATCGTGGTATTTACGACCAGAACTCAACTTTCTGGCTGTCTCAGCACCCTCACTGTCATGTGAACTCATGGTCACATATGGATGCTGAATGGAACCGGCTCACATGTATGGCAGTTGAAGTCACCCCACAGTCAGGTGATTCCACTTGCAAGCTTTCCTCTGAGCTTCCTATAAAAGCAAAGTCATTGGGGAAGCCTTCAGGAAAGGGAAGCAATTGCAAACGGAGATGCTCCCCTGCCCAGCATCCACCACCCTCAGCCTCATGACTTTCCTGCTACACCAGGGTTGCTGCTGTGAAGTGGTGCAGTCGTATGACATTGTGCTTCATAACCACATCCCTTGGCGATTACCGTTATTAACCGAGGACTGGAGTGAACCACTGTCGATGGGTGGGACTGATCCTCTGGAGTGCTTTGTAGGGGGACCTGTCTAGATATCTCCCCTTTATTCACTGGGGTCTGTGTTTTGCACTCCGTGCAGGTAAGTCCTTAACTTACGGCCAGTTGCTTAAATTTAAAAAAAGGTGCTTAGGATTCTAATGGACACTGTCCCCTTGCAGTCACATAATTACAGTTAGGCGCTCAGCAACCAGCCTGCATTTACAGCTGTTTGCAGTGTCCTTCAGTCACACAACCACATTGTACAATGATTTTTACTGGAAACCAGCATTTACTTCCAGTTTTGATTAAAAAAAAACACCCATTACTTAACGACCACGGATCTTGCTTAAGAATCATATGGATTCACTTAATGAGCACATTAAGAACCATGTTGATCTGTTTCACCTCCCAGCTGCTACTAAGAAAATCAGGTCGATGGTGTGATGAACCCCTTAAAACCAGCACAAGTTAATTAAGATTGTAAATCAAGGACTACCTGCCTGGATAGGTGTGTATGCTAAGTAGTGATCAATAGTAGCATCACTAGATTGGAGCAGTAAACAGGGCTGTAAGCTATGATTTGTAAGACAGGGATAAGTAGCATAAAAACTTTTTTACAAAAGAGCAAATTATTGGATGAATAAATAGCTACTGGAGGATTTCTTACAGCCGAGCGATACCAAATCCGAATCACTGGAGAAAGCGTTTTGTGTTGAGTAAAAAGAAAATAGTTTTTATATTGTAATTGGGAAATAGATTTAGCAGGGCCCTCAGCCGTTTTTTGGCTTCCCGGCTTCCAGGGCCGGGCTGATGATTCATCCTCAGTGGGAAAACTCCATTTTGTAGCTGGCTTCCCGTCTTCTCCTCCTGGCCACAGAAAGAAAGTTTGATTGCTGCAGTCATTAACCTTTCAAGCCGACGGCTCTGCGGTGCGCCTTATTTAAGGAGCACTTCGCAGCAAATTGCACAAGCTGTCAAACAGGTGCTCAACGTGTGAGCGTTTTTCCCCCCTTCCCTTCTTCTGCCCATTGATACGTTTCTTGCAGTTAAAGAGGAAGAAAAAGGAAGTTTAGTTTTGTACGTCACTAGATTTCTTCCCCAAAGCACAGGTTGAATATAGTACTCAGGACTGGGCCAAACTTGGCCGTAGTGAGTTGGTCCCATTCCAACTGGTTGGAGGAGTCCAGAGAAGCCAGCAAGCACCTACTACTCAGCTGGTGTAAGCCAGCTCTGCCGCTGCGGAGCACCAAGGGTAGGCAGGCGAGCAACAAAAAGAACGGATTAGTAATTTAGGCGGCCAGGACTGCATTCTGCCCTTTGTAGGTTTCTTGACATTGTATGCCATGCAATAAGTAAGTAAGTAAGTAAGTAAGTAAGTAAATGTCAGCTTTAGCAAATCAGGTGAAAATCTGGGACTCAAATATGACCAGTTGGAACCTCTAGTAGACAAATCATTTTTGATTAGCATCTTTAGGCCATTCAAAAAGATGACGTTTTGGGTGATGTTGTTTTTTTTTAAAAACTAGGCTTCCTAATGTAAATATGATTTGATTTGGGTAATTAGCTCTCCCCCCCTAGTTAATCCTAATTAAAGCTGGAGTGTTATGAATTGGTCTGAACTGCCTGAGGGGGGATCGTCTCCAATGTTAAAGAACTGGGAAAGAGTCCCTGGAGCAAACAGTCAACAAGCCGGCTTGGTAGTTTGATTCGTTCTCCATCTGTTGAAAAAGGAAAAGAGTCACTGCGGTTTGTGTTGTCATTTGCAGCTGCAGAAAACAGTATTGTTAGCGAAGAAATGAAGAGCATATTCACGCAGTATTTATGCATCCTACTATGAGTACTTAATATTGCGTCCTCTGGATATTTTTTAAAACTCTGTATGTCACTCAGATGCCTTTCAATTAGGCTAATTGATCATTTAGTCTTTTTAAGCACTTTGTTTATTATTTTAAGCCAGGGGTCTTCAAACCTGGCCCTTTTATGACTTGTGGACTTCAACTCCCAGAAGACCCTTGTTTTAAGCTCTCTTTAAATAATAAGATTTATGCAGCTCACACAAAGCAAACGAACACATGCCATGAACACAGAGCTAGACCGCAAACTCGGAGCCAAACCAAAGCCCGGTATGTTACATCACAGCCTTCTGCTCCAGACATCACATTACAGAACTCAGGATGTTACAACACAGAACTCAGGATATCACTACACCAGATCTCAGGATGTCACCACACAGCCCATTAACCAGGTCATCACAACACAAAAGACTAATGGGCACACAGCCAGCACCTCAACTACTCAGGATGTTACGAAACAGCCAAACAATCCGCAAACAATAACTCCAACACAGCCAACCAACCCACCTACAGCTACTAAGCCAGCACTCCACACAACCCCACCAATATTTATAGAGAGACAGCAGCTCTGATCACACTTTGCTCGCACAAGCACGAAGCCGAAGACCCCAGCCTGAAGATGACGAGTGGGACCTTGTCGAAATGTCGCCAAGATACTCTCAATCTTACACAGGAAAAGACCCAAATACGCCAAGACCTGCATAAATATATCATCATATATTTATACAGTATCTAAACTAAGAGATGTAGTGTTAATTTATGATTTGCTGGTAAACACAATACTCGGAAAAAGTGAGCAAGTCACACTTTTTTAAAGATAATAGTGTGGTTTCTTTTTCTGCTGTGCAATTATGGAGCTGCAACAAAGCCATGTTGTACTGTGAATTTCACACAAAGGATTGTCACAAGCACATGGGTATGTGGGGTGTTTAATAAATGCTTATAATAAAAAGGGGGGAAAGTTGCACCTGTAGCCATAAGTATTAGAGTTTTGCCCTCCAAAATGTTCCCAAGGACTTCCCAATCAAAACTATTTGTCTGAAGTCAAATATTC